TCGAGCCTGGCCACGGCCCGCGGGCCCTGCAAGGGTGGGTCCCACTTGTACAGGCTTTCCCAGGGCGCGCCGGGCCGAGAACCTGTGGGCTGGCCCTGCCAGGGTTAAGTTTTCAAGCGCCTAATCCTTCTCCTGCAGTGTTTTCTAGAATCAGGCTGTATTTTCTACCTTGCCTTTTTTATATACATAATACATTATATTTAAATTTTAATTAAACTTTTAAACCTTTTCTTCCAAGGGGTTTCAGTGATCAAAGCATCAATGTAGCCAGGGCTTTTTAAGCAGGAGGGACAATGTTTGCTGTAAAGGAGGAGCCTGGGGCTGGTCCCCCTGAGCCGGGTGAGGCCACAGTGAAGTGCCGCATCCTTGCCCTGAGCACCACCTTGTCCGTGGTGGTCGGGGAGGATGGGCCCTGGACATGCACTTCCCTCCAAATCTCCCCTTCACAGCCTGACCCCCAGCTTGGACCCCACAGCACCCACTTCCCCATCCTTCCCAGAAGGACACTCCCCAGAGAGAGTGGGGGGAAGGCAGGAGCTGTGGGCACTCCCCATCCTCCCAGCCCTCCATCTCCCTGCCCTGCCCATGGTGACTCAAGCCTCATAGGGTCAGACTGTGCTGAGCAATCCCCTCACCCAGGTTTCCTCAAACTCATCTCCTCCTTAAACTTCCTTTAAGCCCAGAGACTGCCCAAGACAGCGCCCTCCTGGACCGAGGCTGGCAGGGTTAACACCTGTATGTAGACATGGCGTCCTGGAGGCCCTGTCTGTCATTTTCAACCCAGTGTCTCCAGAGAGGGCAGAACCATGACACACCATGATGCTCCCCAGGGTCACCTGCCCGCACCAGAGCAGGGGGCAGGCCTCACATCTCAAGCCTCCCACACTGGAGTCGCATGGCACTGGCCCTCTGCCCCAGGACTGGGCCCTTCCCACACCGCCTCCTTGGCCCCAGCTCCTGTCCAGAGCGCCCAGGTTTAGGTAAAGTTGGCAACAATCACCTTCATGGGTGATGCTCCTGTGGGACCGAGTCCATTAGCACCCCCAGACCTCATTCCCCTGCACCAGCTCCTCAGGGCCTAGCAGGTCTTCTAAGCCAAGAGGAGAGCCACGTGGCCCTCTGGTCTGTCCTGTCCCAGCCCCCCCCCCCCACTCCATGGTATATTTAGGGTCCCGCTGACCCCTGAGCACCCCAATGGGGGGAAGTCACACTCAGTTTCCCATGAGCATATGCTCAGGGGGGAGCATGGTGTCTGAGATGTCCAGGCCCTGTGATGCGGGTGAAACGGAATTTAACTACACACCCGTGAGTGTGCTTGTCAGCCAGTACGTACATGCGTGTGTGCACGTGAGGCTCTGAGCATAGCTGCGATGCTGAGATTGTGACCATCCGTGAAGGTGACTGTGTGTATGGCACTCAGTGCACACGGGTGTGCAGCAAGCCTGGGCCTGGCTGCCCATGTGCCTGTGTAAGCCTCAGTGTCACACCCGGGGCCTGCTGCCTGAGTGTGTGGGGGGGGAAAGGTGTGCGGCTGTTATGTGTGTCCTGCCTCTTGGAGGTATGCTGACATCAATCACCTGTGTGTTAACTGGCATGAGCCCTGCATCTCAGCTGGCAGAGTTGGGGAGCAGGACCTGGGTCCCCTATCCCCACCCCATCAGCAGCAGGGCCCAGAAAACTCAAAGACAGGGATGGAGAAAGACAAGCTGAGGAGACCAGAGATGGACTCAGAAGTGGTGAAAGATGCCTCCAGTGGGCGGAGGGACAGACAGAAATAGCCCGCAGGACGCCAGGAATATCGCCCCCTCCTTTAGAGCACATGCGACTGCCAGCACAGTGGGGGCAGGCAAGCTGAGACACAGCAACAGGGGTGGTTCAGTCCAGGCACATTTGTCACAGCAGGAAAGGGGCTCTGAGGCGCCCCTTTTGAGTCCTGGGCTCTCACATGGGAGAAGTGCTCATGGCCCATGAGTGTTCAAGCCACACCCACTCTCACAGCTCACGAACTCCTGTCCTGGGCCTGACCCTGCTGGGGGAACAGGTGGCCCACCCCTTGGAGCCCTGAGTCAGCTTGGCCAAGGTGCACCCACTGTGGCCCCTCCCAGGGCTGGACCATGACAGCTGGAGCCCAGGAGCCTCTGCACAGATGTGGGCCCTCCTACCCCTCCCCTCGCTCCTGGCCAGGCAGAAGGGAGGGAGGACCAGCCCAGCCTGTCCTCTGCCTAGACGTGAACAGCCCCTGAGGTCCTCCCTGCCTGGGCCACCAGTGCTCCTGCCCAGTGACACCCATGGACACACCAAGAAAGGTGCCAGGCCAGCTACAGGACTGTGCAGGGCTGTCTTGGCTGTTTTCTGGCTCAGGCTGGAGCATCTTCACACCCTTCATTCGGGGCTTCACACCCCACCCCATCTCACCCAGAGGCCCCCGAGCCCTAGGGTCAGGGGATGAGGAGTCCCGCGGATGCCTGGGGTGGCATCGCCCCACTACCCAAGGAGGGTGAGGCCCAGCAGCATACTCCCCAGAAGCCACTCCCTCAGTTCCAGGTGGGAGGCCAGTGGGGGTCCCCATGTGGAGGAGCCCCCAAGCCAGGAACAGGGTCTGGGCAAGGACACAAAGGGCCTCTCCCCAAGGGCCGCGGTTTCTACTAGTGGCTCCTCAGCAGTGGTGCTGGGACAGGGGAGAGGGTTTCCTCAGAGGCCCTTTGTCCAGATCCCTGTCTGGGGGCTCCCCAAGGGGCCTGGCTCTGCCCTAGCTGGTCCTAGGCAGGACACAGCCCAGAGCCTGGGTGGCTCCGGCTCCAGGTCAGACTTTCCACCCTCTGCCTCCTGCTCCACCTACTTGATTCCCCAAGGGTTAGAGAAGGGAAGTCCACCCCCACCCCCACCCCCAGCTCCCGCTGAGTCAGGCCAGCCAGGAACAGGCCCAGGCGGCCTAGTGCCCAGCGGGAAGTTCTAGCCCCAACCTGGCAAAGGCTTGGCTCCCACGCCCAGGACCCAGCCTGGCCCTGGAGTGACCTGCAGGGGTGTGGAACCCTTCCCAGCAAGCTGCCCGTGGGAGGAGGGCAGGGAGGTGGAGCAGAGAGCAGGTAAACTGCACCCTCGCCCCCGCAGACCCAGTCACCATCCTCTGGAATACTGTCAAGAGATACACCACCACCAACTCGGTGCTCACACACCAGCCCCAGTGATGCCATGCTGGCAAGTGAGCAGGGACCAAACCACCCTGCACTCCCCTGGACAAGCACTGGACAATCCAACTGTCCAGCTCATATGCTACAAAACCTACACGCATTTTTAAGTGAACAAGTCAGTGTTTTAGTATATTCACAGGTTGTGCAAACACCACCACTGATTTCAGTGTTTTTCTATAAACCCCCAAAGCCCCTGCCCACCAGCAGTCCTGGTCCATTCTTCCTCACCACAGCCCCGAGAAGCGCCATCTTCGCCTGCTCTGTGCACTGTCCTGCCCTGGACTCTTCCCAGAGCAGGGATAGGGTGCCTAGCCCGCAAGCTGTGGAAGGCCTGGGAAATTGTTTGGTCTGGCCCTGCAAGGCATTAGGGGTGATTAATTAAATGTTTGATAAAATGTAGCAGCTAATTTTTTAAAATTATTTTATTGATTTTTTACAGAGAGGAAGGGAGAGAGACAGAGTCAGAAACATCGATGAGAGAGAACATCGATCAGCGCCTCCTGCACACTCCCCACTGGGGATGTGCCTGCAACCAAGGTACATGCCCTTGAGTCTGGCACCCTTGAGTCTGCATTTTGACGCTCCATCCACTGAGCCAAACCGGCTAGGGCTTAACTTAGCATCATATTTTCAAGGTTCACCCATGTGCCAGCATCATCGGACTGTTCCTTATTCCTTTTTCTTTTTATTGATCTCAGAGAGGAAGGGAAAGGGAGAGAGAGAAACATCAATGATGAGAGAGAATTATGGATCAGCTGCCTCCTGCACACCCACTCTGGGGATTGAACCTGAAACCCAGGTATGTGACCTGACTGGGGATCTAACTGTGACCTCCTGGTTCATAGGTCGTTGCTCAACCACTGAGCCACACCTTCCAGCCTCATTCCTTTTTAAGGCTGAACAGTATTCCGTATGGACAGACCGCATTGATTTCCTGGTTCATCAATGATGGACGTGTGGGTTGACTGGTGTCCTGGCTATTGTGGACTGGTGTCCACATTGTGTGTGGATGTGTCTGTTAAAATGACAGACATCTGTATATCTGATGAACAGGCCTGAGCAAGTAGATGAAGCTCCTTAAATCCATATGCTAGAGCAGCTGCCCCCAAAAGGGGGTCCAGAGCCTCTGAGCTCCAATTCCATCGTCCCCCACAGCCAAGGCCCACCCCACGCCTGCCGCAGGCCCGGGCGGGGCTCCGGGAACATGTGCCGACCGGTCCACGAGGGTTTTGGCCCCGTGTGTGGGAGGCCTGGCCCCGGCCTGGGGGGAGGATGTGGGGCCCTGAGGTGCCTCCCTTCTGTTTCAGCCACAGCCCTCCCCCCCCCCTTCCACC